GCCGCTTTGGACGCCGGGGCTGTGCTCACCGGGGAGCCTTGCAGAAGTGTCTGGGAACTCACCCTCGCTGCAGCGTGGCGAGTGGGGACGTGGCTTCCTCCCGCGGCGTCAGCCTGGGGCTCCGTGACGGGGCGAGGCGACGCGCTCCGAAGTTGGCGCGGAGACCGGGCCTCTCCCTCCTCAGGGCCACTGGCTCATCCACGCCGGGCCTCGGCGGAGGGAGGCTTCCCCGGAAGTGGCGAAGCGGGGGAAAGAGAAACTTAAAGACGGAGCGCTAGAGTCTGAGACGACTTTCGGTCCGGGAAGTGAAGTCGCCTGCAATGTCATGACTTTGATGTTGCAGATGGACATGGGATCTCTGAGATTTCATTCAACACGTGGTTAGTGAAAACTTCGCATTGTGTGCGCTGTGTGCGAGGAAAGACAAATACCCACTCCCGTTCTTAGTACCTCCCAATATTTGGGGCGAAACTAGGAGACGGAGGATGAGGGAACCCTCTCGAGGCCGTGTGTTCTGAGTTCAGTAGGCTGTGGAATTGGGTTGGAACCCAGCTTTCGATTTTCAAAGACTCGATCAAAGAACACATCTTTTGTTAAACCGCAGTAGAGTGGGTTTGGGTAAGATAGATACACAAAGATTTTAAGCCTGAAATTGGTCTGTCCTGTGATAATTCGAAAGGAGACAAACTTGAGGTAATAAAGCTGAAAAAATATTAGATGTTTACTGTAGTTTTGTATCATTGTTCGTTCTGGTTAATAATGGGTAAGAAATGCGACTCCCTGACCAAAGGATTGCTGGAGCGTATTGACTTAGGGTGGCACTTTTCGCGTGCTGATTGAACTGTTTCCCTAGTTGGTGTTTCATAAGTTTTATTTAACAAGTAGAATGCTTGATAAACTTAGTTTTTTTGGGGTTTTTTTGTTTTGGTACGGGGATCAAACTCGGGACCTTGCACTTGTGAGGTAGGCACAGTGCCATTGAGCTAAATCCCCGGCCCCAAATTTAATATTTTTTGTTCAGAAAGATGGTGCAATTTAAATATTTTTTAGTGAGAAAAGTAGATTGTAACGTATGACGGGGAATTCCAACCACATCACGTTTAAGATAATAGAGCTGAATATTTTTGTCTTCTGCTTATTTCCCAACAAGAATTGTAGTGTGTGGTTTCTTTAAAAAGAGGCTTGGAGAGATACAGGAAGTTAATTGCCTTTGTGTACTTAAAGTATAAGCACAGGAGATAATTTGTGTTTTCTGGAAATCAGTTGAATAAGCTGCGGTCTGAAAGGTACTTAGGAAGCTCAGTTCATTGTAAAATAGCATTCACTCTGCTACACTTTCCAGTGTCAAAGGTTTTAAATGGTTAGCATAAAATAAGAAGACGATTTCTTTGTGACCCCCCCTTCTGCCCCAGGCTACTGTTCATACCCCAGGGTTCAGTAAATCCTAATAATAAAAATATTGAAGTAAAACATTTCTGCAAAACTTTAGGCAAGGGGAAAGAAAGCAGATGAGAATGTTGGAGGCATTTAACTTCAGAAACATAAAGCCCGATTCTATAGACTGTTCATTTGTCTAAACATTAAATTATAATTAGTCCTTGTTTATGGACCATGTGGCCCAAACTATTTGCAAACGCCTAGAGAGCTTGTTAAACTTACATGTATACATAGGTGTAAATGTGGCCCTTTAAAATGTTTTCAGTTGTGGAAAATCCTGAGTCTCTGGGGAATTAACTCATTTTCAGAAGGCCACATCAGAGTTTGCATTTAACTTGTAATAAAAGTTTTTTTTTACGTTTCAAAATTCTTGGGTTTTATTTGATGAGCAATAATTCTCTGGACTGTAGTGTTCATCATAGCCTTTTCCCCAATATTTTTATCTTTTAGGGGCACTCTAAAATGCCTTAAACCAAATAGCTGTAGTAGGTTTCTTTCAAATAGTTGCCCTGTGTGAAAGGATTATTTATTTGATAGGTACCTCCAGCTGAACTTGTCCACTAGCTTTTTATTTTTATGTATGGCTTCATGGTTGATAGTTTTTTGTTTTTTGGTTTTTTTTTGTTGTTGTTGTTTTTTGGTTTTGGGGACAGGGTCTCACTGGGTAGTTGAAACTGACCTGGAACTCACTATGTAGCCCAGTCTGGTCTCGAACTCACAGCAATCCTTCTGCCTCATTTTCCCAAGTTCTGGGATTACACAGGCGTGTGCCACCACGCCTGGCCCTGGTAATTAGTTTCTTAGTAAATCAGTTTATAAAGTTTTATCATGTCTCTGAATTATTAATTTTGGTACTGTATATAATGCTTATTGTTCAAAAGAGGTAATTAGAACAAACTCAAATGAGATGTCAATTCATAGATCTCATAAATTTTCTCCTCAGAAACCTGTGAAAGCCACAAAAGCTGTCTTTCCTGTTCTAACTCAAGTATTGTTAATACTACTTGCTATTGGATAGAATGTAAAGAAGGTAAGAAATTTGGGGCTTGCTATAATTTTGAAAGTACAAAATTGTCTTTTTTTTTTTTTAAACACCTAAGAGGGTTTTTGTGAACATTTGAAAATTCTCTAAAACATTTGATATATTACTTTTTGCAAATCTAATACTTTGAAACATCAGTAGTTTAGCACTGTCCTGTAAATCTCGTCTTCCATCCTCCCTTTAAGATTTCTTAGACTTGGTGAGTACGCTCACTAAGTTTTGAAAGGAGAAATTTTAGATTTTTGTATATTTAAGATGTGTTAATATGCTGGAATTAGCTGTGACAGAATGTTGTGTGATTTTCCTTTGAAAACTGGGATGTTTAACTTTCTTTTGTCCTGCAAGATGAATTACAGTAAGTATATAAAGAAACCTTACATAGTTTTTATTGGAAGCTTAGATACAGTGGAGGAATAGGAAAAGAAAAGTTGACTGTTGTGCTTTTAAGTTTTAAAACATATTAAGGGATAAGGAGCTTGATGGAGGTACATTGAAGCACGGATAAGATTATTGTTAGAATCATAAGCTTACACCATCAATTATTTTCTAAATGTAAGATGGTCAGTTTTTTGTTTTTTGTTTTTTGTTTTTTTTTCTGATCAGCGAAAGTCTATTTGGGTGGGTTGGTTGGTTATTTATTTATTTATTTATTTATTTATTTATTTTTGGTACTGGGGATTGAACTCAGGTCCTTGGCGCTTGCAAGGTAGGCCACTGAACTGCTGAGCTAAATCCTCGGCCCTATTTGGGTTTTTTAAATAAAATAAAAATTTTAAAATAAAAAGTTGCATGTTGTTCCCCTATTCCCCAGTGAAAATTAACGGTTCCAGAAACTATACTGCAGAAAGTTCAAAAGTTCTTGAAAACAAAAGTATTAACTTGGGGTTAAATTAACATTTTGTTTTACTTTTTTAGATCATAAAATGGCACTTAAGGGTGCATGCACTCACTTTGTATGGTAGTATATAAGAGTTGTCAAGTTTTGAACGTTCTGCTTTAAGATTCCTTGGGGAATGCTCTTCCCTTACTCTTTTGATGGGGGGGATGGTATAGTGGATTGAACTCCAGGCCTGGGCTAAGCACAAGCTTGTAATCTTCTTGCCCCAGCCTCCCCTTACGTTCCTTCTGGTCTGCCAATTTAGGAAGCTGTTGTAGTTGTTTCGTTTGTTGTGTTTTTTTTGGTACTGGGGATCAAACTTGGGTCCTTGCGCTTGCGGCAGAACCGCTGAGCTAAATTAAATCCCCGGCTGGAGGACGCTGTTTTAGAAGGTATAAAAGACTAGAGCTGGAAAATTTGCAGCTCAGTCTGCTACTGCTGTAGGGCACTTCGTATGTTTACTGAGCCTTAAGCCTTTATTAAAAGATCTTGATCAGTTCTTACTGAGTCCCCTTTCATGTATAGATTTCTGGATGCTTTTGCTGATGGTATAATAGTCATACCATAGTTCTTAAGATCTGAATGTTTCATTTAGTGCATGGATTTTAGAGGGGTAAAATTTGGAGGGTTCTCCTGTAATATTTCCAAGACAATGGGAAAAGGACCAGTATTTGTGGACTTCTGAAGTATTTATGTTGGAGTTCAGTTCTGTTTTAGAAGCCGTTCTTGAGCTTAGTAGCATACTCAACGGTAGTAGTATAAGTGAGTGATTGATGTTTGTCTCTTTTTTTCCATAGCAAGTAAGAGCTACTGTTCCGATAATTCAACAGTAACAGTTAATAATTGTAGCATGGTGAACATTTCCTCGTGTTCTGGTAAGTCTTCATGTGGGAGGCTGGGGAAAGTAGCCACAGAGGAATGAGAAAAGGCATTGCCTCAGAGCTGTGTTTCAGTGTTGTCTTTGAAATATTGCTGTAATTGGAATAACATTCATATCGATTGATGAAAGGACACGTTGAAGCTTTGGTTTAGTGATTTTATACTGTGCAGTGCTGTAAGTGTAGGTACTTCCGTCTCCTGACTTGACAGGAATATGCTGGGGTTTAGACCTGTACTTGTCAGCCGGGTGTGGTGGAGCACTCCTATAATCCCAGCACTCGGAGGCTGAGGCAGGAGGATTGCTGTGAGTTTGAGACCAGCCTGGGCTACACAGTGAGTTCCAGAGCAGTATGAACTACATAATGAGACCCTGTCTCAAAAAAAAAACAACAAAAAAAACCAAAATAAAAAATAAAAATAGACCTGTACCTTGTCTGTTGCAGACCTAGAGAACCTTGTTCTGACAAATTCTAGTTATGATGTTGCTAATTGTCACATTTTAGTCTTCTAGCCTAGTTTGTGTTATAGCTAAACAACTGTGTTTATCTAGTTTTTATACTTAAATTTGAGGAAATTGACTACACTGACTTGCATTTTGTGCTGCAAATCGTTAAAACTTCTAATTGAAACAGCTGATTTTTCTAATGCGATTATAGATGAGAAAGTCAACTCTTTTTTTTTTCTTTTTTTGTATGCGGGTTCGAACTCAGGTCCTTGGGCTTACAAGGCAGGCGCTGGAACCACTGAGCTAAATCCCCAGCCCAGAAAATTAACTCTTAATTTGAAACATAGATGATAATTGAATAGAGTAAAAGATTTTGCAGAGTGTCAGTAACCTTCACAGACTACTTCTGACTAATTTTGGTGAGGGTTTCCCTATCCCAATATGAACTTTTTTGGTGAATACCGGGGATTGAACTTGGGATGTTGTGCTTGCAAGGCAGGCAGTGGGACCACTGAGCTAAATCCCCGGCCCCCAATATGAACTTTGTAAGTGGGGATTTTATTAATGTTAGATTTTATTAATGTTTAATATAGACTATAACCCATATTTGTTTTACACGAACAAATATTTTTAATGAGTATTAGAAAAACTATTCAGACCTTGGTTTAATGCTGCTTTGCTGATATACTAGTTAGAATTTGTTTTGACTATAAAGAACATAATCCCCCAAATTAGTTACTTTTAAGCAGTGGATAAATTTACTTCTTCATTTGAAGAAGTCTAGGCTAGAGTACAGGTAGAGATCTAGAGCAGTAACTCTACAACCATTAGAGATTCAGGACCCTTTAGGTTTTTACTGTATCATTTCTCAAAAATAGCTTTGACTTCCTGTCCAAGGTGGATGCTTGTGTTCGAGCCATCACCTTGATTTTTCCTGCTAGTAGGGAAAAATGGAGGCCCACATTTATCATAAGGATGCTTGGTAGAAGTTTTCCATGGCTACTTAGCTGCAAGTAAGGCTAAGAAATACCTTTACTGGTGGAAGGGAAGTGTTTAAAATTTGGTAAATCCATTTGTAAAGAAGCAGGGAAAGTGGTATTTGGTGAAGCAACCACTATCACTTCTAAAGGTAGTGCTTAACATTGTAAACATTATGAAAGTAGTGTTCATGATTGCGGGTTGTGAAGTAGTGTTACAGGTGCTAGATATTTTAGACCGTTTTGATGTATATTGTTGTTGTTTGTTTTTTTTTTTAATAGTGCCTACTACTGCTCCTCCAGTGCCAACCAATGCAACAGGTAATTCAAAATGATTGACTCTTTTTCCTTCATCTTTCAGGTTTTAATTTTTTTTTTCATTCAGTGCCTAAGAGTGTAATTTTAAAGATTGCTAGAGATTTTAGTCTCAGTAATTACTTCATACTTTACAATACTTAAATACCCTGGTGTTTTGTTTTGTTTTGGGTATTGGGGATTGAACTCAGGACCTTGTGCTTGAGAAGCAGGAGGATTTTGGGGAGATACAGAAGCACAAAGGAAATTAAAAAAAATTTTTTAAGGAAATTTTAATTTCTGTCATCCAAGGGTTCAAAATGTTTCCAGTGATTTCTTCTGGTCTTTGTCTAGTAGCCCCCTCCCCATATATACATATATATTTCTAGATCTAAATATACACTTTTTCTTTTTTTTTTTTGGTATTAGGGATCAAATTCAGGACCTTGCTCTTGTGAGGCAGGTGTGGTGCCACTGAACTAAATCCCCAACCTTAAATATACTTTTTATGAAACTAAATGATATGCTTATTTACCTTTAGATTATTTTCTTTCTTACTGTAAGATTGTGGTGCACACCTTTACCCATTATTTTCTTGTTTGGACAATTAGGTAATATTTGTTACTGCTGATAGGGTCATTCAAACAATTTGTACATCAGAGGACATGACTGAAGGCTCAGTAGTGACTGCGGTATCAACAAAACAATGCTGAAGTCCTTTAAACCTATTTGCACATACCTAGCTAGCCCTTCCTATCTGTGTGCTAGAATTATTTTTCCCCTTAACATTTCAAGATTTCTAAGTGAGCAACAACAACAAAAAACTAGAAAATGAGCCAGACGTGGTGGTACACGCCTGTAATCGCAGCACTCGGAGGCTGAGGCAGGAGGATCGCTGTGAGTTCGAGACCAGCCTGAGCTACATAGTGAGTTCCAGGTCATTCTCAACTATGTAGTGAGACCCTGTCTCAAAAAACAAAACAAAACAAAAAACAAACAAACCTGTTTTAAGATCAAAGACTTGATGTTTAATGTAAAAAGTTCTATAGATTTTTTTATTATACTGATTATACACTTAAATACAATCACAAAAACCTTAAAGGGAATGAGCATTAAAATGATAATACCCTCAAATGTAGAAATTACATGTTTCCATCCTTAGATAAGATATTTATACCTTAGAGGAATGAGAACTGTTCAGTGAAAAGCAAGATGAAAAAATTATGTACAGCATTACTCAAAGCAAAATGGGAAGAGTTACAAACATGTATGAATATATCCATCAGTATTCTCTTGGGTAGTATCAATCCTAAAAAGGAGTCTGACCAGATCTTTCAGAAATAGCATTATGCTCTCTGTTTACTCTAAAAATGAGAATGACTTAGTCTCCTGGGGTCCTGATAACCTTAGAATAAGGGCAGTTTGCCTGAGGGGGGATCCTAGTCTTTGTGGCTCTACTTTTTAATGACAGTCTATGTCTTAAAGCCAGCTTTTGGTATAGAATTACTGTTACAGCACAGAACTTCTTTATTAGTGGAATTTGGAAGATGCTTGAAATTTTAATGTTGATTGTTTTAAGGTCACTGACGGGATTTAGTCTCAATGTCTTCTTAATCAAGGATCATGGTGCAGTGGCCTATAATTCCAGCTACTCAGGTTGAAGCAGGAATATCACATGTTCAGGCTCCTGTCTCAGAAACTTGGAAGTGGCTTGGGCATGTACTCACAGAGAAGGCCCGGAGTTCAATCCCTGGTACTGCCTTACCTATCTGTGCCAGACAGTAGAATGCTGGTACCAAAAAAAGTTTCTGTGTTTATGAACTTTTTCCTCTATTGAATATAAGGATAAGAAAATCTCAGAAATGCCTTATATTTCAGTTAAGTACTTTAAACAGAAGTATTTCTTGCCAAATTCTCTTAAGCCATCAAATCCTGTTTTCTGAAACAGTGTAACACCTTACATTTTTTTGTGAGAATATAAGCTTTGTGTACTTTATCTTCTTCTTTCCCCTCACCATCCCTAGCATCCCACCCTAGTATGCACATCTTTGTAGTAAAGCCCCTGTAAAGCCTGATCTACTTGTTTTCTAGAACATGATTGGAAACTCCGAGCCAGCATCTCCTGTAGCCCTTTGCTTAGAGGGAGGGCCTATAAGTGTTTCAAAAAACTGAACCCAACTTTAAGGTTTTTTTTGTTGTTGTTGTTGCTGGAGATTGGAATTGGGTCCCTGCACTTGCAAAGCAAGGCGCTGGAACCACTGAGCTAAATCCCCTGCCCTAAGGACAGTTTCTTAATGAAACCTTTCTCAAATGCTTCAGCAAACTTTGCAGTCATTTAGGCCTGGGATTTAGCTCAGTGGTGCCTTGCAAGTTCCATCCCCAGTACCAAAAAAGAAAAAAGGTCTTGAAACCATTTAGTAGGTCTTGGTTATTTGACTCTATGAAATACAAAAGTATCTAAATCCTTCAAGTAATGGCATGAGAAAACCTCACACTTGATGTAATAGACATTAATAGTTTCTGAAGTTCCTTTTAGTAGAGTGCTTCAGTTACTAAAATTAATTTACATTTAAACTAATTCTTCACACTTTAAGAGATGTCATCCATTTTTTGGCCTCAACTGGTACACTGTTGCTACCCTTAGGCTCTTGCCATTTACATTGAGGTAACTATCCCTGTGACAACCTACTCTTTTTTTTTGGGGGGGGGGTTTTGAGACAGGGTCTCACTATGTAATTGAGAATGACCTGGAACTCACTATGTATCACAGGCTGGTCTCAAACTCACTGGTCAGCTGGTCAGCAGTCCTGCCTCAGCCCTCCCAAGTGGTGGGATTACAGGCATGTGCTACCACGCCCGGCAACCTACTCATTCTTAATATGCTAGTCCCACTTATTTGCATAAAATTTGTTTTTGGCTGCTTTTCCAGTACACAAAGACTGAAATATTTACTGCCTCTACAAGGAAAGTTTATAACCCTTGTAGTGAAGAACACAGGCAAATCTAATACCCATATAAATACTATGTCATAATTGTTTCTTGTATGACTTAACTGGTTTTTGTCTTAGAAGCGAACTTATTTGTAAAAGAACTTGCCATTTTTGCCCTTCTCTGCTCTTTTGCAAACTTTATCTGAAAGTATATGTAGTTTTTTTTATAGTCATTTTAGGTTTTTTTGTGTTTTTTTTTTTTTTTTAAATGGTTTTGTTTCGTTTGCTGTATCAGGGATCAAACTCAGGGCCTTACACTTGCGAGGCAGGTTTGGTGCCACTGACATGAATCCCCGGCCCTTGTGTATAATTTTATAGTTGCTGAACATTTAAAAATAAACATAAAAGCTAGTATTTTTGGATGTGTAGATACTATTCTCTGAAATACTGAAAAAATGTTGAAGTTGGTAGCATTATTTTTAAAAGGCATTATTAGAGAACCGGGAAGTTAGAAACTCAAGGCTCTTAAATACATTTTGTTTTTTAATTCCAGCTAAAACCACAACTTCACCTTCCTCTTCTTCCACCACAGTTACCACAACAGGTAATTGAGGCTTTTTAAAATTAATCGCATGTAATGTGTGTACTTTGTTGCCTTTTACTGCTTCTTCATCAGGTTCCAGTTTTATTCATGAATGTATGTGGACTGAAACTGAGTTTTGAGTTGATACTTAGGGGATGGAGGTGGTAAGCTATTTAAGCAATAATAGTAGCTAGAGATTGCACTAGCACATGCCAAGCAAGCAATAAACAGCCAACCACTGAGCTATAGCCCCAGTTGTAATTTATCTTAAAGCCGGTTATTGTTTGATATTCTACTGAGGAGAAATTTAATACTTCTATTAAATGCTTTTTATGAAATTGATGCTTTTTAAGTCTTTTTGCCTTGAAACATTGTACTCCTTGAAATTGTAATTTTCATGTTATTTTCCCTTATGATGGTAATACCTTTTCATATGCAAAGTTAACTGACAGTGCTGCTTAAGATGAGTTATTTCTCTGGTTGAAGTTATAAATTATAAGCATTTCAGGTTGCAGTTAGTACTTATGTGAATGAGTTCATTCCAGGAGAATGCTCCTGAGTCCAATTCATTCATATTTGACAGTGAGTCTTACACTGTACACCTGTGAAATTTTGCAAATTTAATGTTTTGTAACTTGAACAAATGTGACTATATGTCTAGTATAATTTAAATGTCTTTAGTTTTGAATACATTAATGCAGCTTTACAAAATTTATTGCATATTTTGAAAGTGCTTGATAAATTTACTGGGCACAGTTGTTATACCAGAAAATTATTTTTCTATAATCTTCATATTTGACACATTATAGCCTCATTGACCATTTGGTGGCCCTGGATAAGATGAAGAATGATAAATGGTTATCTTCCTTCATTATCCATAGGATGAATTCTAGCTATAAAGACTTAAAAGTACTTTATAGATATACACATGGCAAAATAGAATCAAGTGGGTCTTGAAATTGCAATAGAGGATCATGAGACTTTTTAAGGATTGTTACTTTTGTCATACCAGGTGCAGCAAATACCACTTCGACTCCAACCTTAGAACCTGCACGGAAGTCTACCTTTGATGCAGCCAGTTTTATTGGAGGAATTGTCCTTGTCTTGGGTGTACAAGCTGTAATTTTCTTTCTTTATAAATTCTGCAAATCTAAAGAACGAAATTACCATACTCTGTAAATGGACCTATTAAATTAAGGACTAGCAATTCATTTGTGTAATTCACTGAAACCAAAATACTCTTTAAAGATGTCCCACGTGGAAGACGCTATTCCAGGATCTTTAAATTTGCAAAGGATGCATAGGATATTTTGGAGCATCATCCCAGAAGAAAAATCAGTTAAACCATTTTGCTAAAAGGAATATTTAAATATTCTGCATGAATCCTTGGGGCTGTCTTTTATTTTAAATGGCTGCTGCTGTGGGATTATGTTTCTTTTCTTGACATGCCAAATATAACTTTCTCTAAGTAATGGAAAATGTCATCCTGTGCAGACAACCTCTTGACTCTTAGCAGATTAAATTTAGTCACCTTAAAGTCTGAAAGCTGCATTATTTTCATCCTAACACAAGATGTTACTCAGTGGCCAGAAATGAAAAGTGTGCCACGCAAGCATCAGTTGGGCGTGGCTAGCATTTCAAAAGTGGAATTAATCTATTTAGTAGTACTAAAATGTGTCCTTATAAAATTTTGTGTTCAGTTATTTTTTTCTACATTAGAAATAAGTTGCTACATAGGGAATTACATTCCAGACTTAATGGAAAGGATACAAATCATTAATGTTAACAGGTTCTTGTTCATACTTGAAAAGTACCTTGTATCTTTGAGAATATAAAGAGCAGTGCCTTAGACAGACTGAAAGGTAGGCTGTAACTTAAAATGTTTATGATTCTTTTACGTTGAGGAAGGTAAAGGTTCTGAAGATATAATGTTGAAGTAAGCAATGGTAAACCTGCTTCTAGATATCATACTGTTAATGTTTAATTAAAAACAATTTTGTTTCATAGCTGAGAAAGTTAAGCTGAAGAATATTATACAAAGTTGAAGGCCTTCATATTTTGAACCTTCTGTCATTTTCCTTAGGGCTATTGAAAAGAGATTAAACTGATTATTAGGTAACTTTTATTTGTACTCAAAAAAGATGTCCTGATGCTATTGTACTTTGAAAAGATTTCTCCCAGGCTTTCCTGGAAAGTAACTTTTTTGAGGCTATAAGGAAATAGGTTTTAGAATCATTTATTAACTCTTTAAAAGGAGAGTCATCAGTTTTCCAAGCAAATGTGACCAGTATAAATTTCACAGAACCTATGGGTTGTAAGCCAAGTATGGTAGGGGCATGCTTGGCACTTGGGAGCCGAGGCAAGGAGGATCTCCTTGTGTTTGGGGCCAGCCTGAACTACAGAGGCGAGGCCCTTTCTCAAAAAGAGAAAAAAAAAATTTATGGATTTTTGATTTTTGATCCAGTTAGATTTTTAATGATTGCCCTGGATAGACTGCTTTTTGTCCTTTTTTGTTTTCTCCTTGATTTCAATTCCTATAGGATAATAAGCATGGATACTTTTGTTGCTGTCATTTCTCATCAAGCACTAATTTTCTTAGTTTTAGGAGGACTACTTCTCTCTTACCTTTGGTACATTGGATTAGTTCAGAGGCCTTAATTAGTTTAAAATAGGCTTTTGCTTTTCTAGGTCTTTTTTTTTCCCCTCCTTTCTCCCTGGCTTATAGTAGCTGAGTTTAGCACTTGGTTTTCAGCATTTTATAGTAGAAAATGATTGCTTTGGTTCATTTCATAAACAAATTCCTTAGGTGATTATATTAAAGGTTCTCAAAATGAAGAGTTATTGTTTTCCTTGTCATTGCTGGTACAGTTAAACAGCTAAAGTTTGTTTTACTTGCACATTTGTACATACACCTAATGTTTTCAAGTGCCTTAATTGTTTAAATCTCTGGCTTCAAAGATTTTTGGAAAAGGCTAGTCTTACCTCACAGTTTTGTGTTTCCATTAAATGTAATATTTTAGGTACTTCACAAAATTTATTATGGTGCCATGGCTGTTAGTATTTGGTGAGTGCTGTAAAATTCATTTGAAATACACAGAATTCCCATCCTCACAAGGTGGCAAAGATGAGCAGTTGTCACCTGGATAGGAATTGTTTGCCACACATTAATGTCAACACATGTTGGAAATTTTGTGGAAGTAATTGGAGCTTCTATGATTTTGAGCACTGCTCTGACAACAAAACCATACGAAGTTAGATTTTGCAAGGTGATCTCTTGCAACAGAATACACAGCCTCTTCTTTTTATCCCTTAGCAATGTAGTATCTTGAGCCATTAATAATTTTTGGGTTTTACTTAATCCAGAAGGTACATTAGAAACCTTTTCAGATTTTTCATCTGATTTGTTCATGCTGATGTGCTGTCAGATACTTTATTTTTCTTTATAGATACTTAATGCACAGGCAGACACTGCTGTATTTAGAAGTTTCTATTTCAGTTCATTAAAAACTTTAAAACCAATCTGTATCATGTACCAAACTGATTTAAAATAAATCTACATGTTTATTGAATTAGCCTGTTCTTTATTGACTGGTGTGTTGTAGTGTTTTAATTACAAATTTTAACCTTACTGGGTTTGTTTCACGAGTCTTGTTTGGAGGTGGAGTGTCTACTGTTGTTGCAGCTCCTCTAAGCCAGTATATAGTAATTAAGGAATGAATTAATCAGTGGGGAACAGAGCCCAAGAATGACAGTTGGAGGGAGGATAAGAGTGACATGCAAGTTGATGCCGCAAATTAATAGAAATCAAGCTCAAGTGTACCAAGACTTTATAAGAATACCGGTTATTTATGATCCTGAAATCTTGTGGCTTCCTGCCCTTTTAGTTCAAAGTACATGTGAAATAAAACCAGGCAAAAAACAAAACAAAAAAAAACCTGGGCTTCTGTTTCAAGCACTTGGTGTACCCATCTCTACTGCCAAGCCACATGCTGCCATATGAAATCTGGTTCTCTCGAGCCATGTTGTGGACAAAACTACATTGTATATTTACTCCCCTGTAATGGTGAATTTAATGATTTACCTTAGAAGTTAGCTACTTTTGGTTTCTTATTAGCCTTATCTATTGTTGTTTGCTAAATATTACATAAAATTACCAAGTGGGCCTAAAGCATTGTAGAGATGGTTACTATGATAAGCATAAGGTGCAAAATTGGTTTTCTAGATGAGATATCCTGTATATTTAACTGTATTATTACCCTTTTTGGTTCTGGGGATCAAACTCTGGTCCTTGCGCTTATAAGACAGACGCCAGAACCAGCTAACTGAATCCCTGGCCCTTATCCTTTAACCATTACCTGTGCATTACTTAACATGCTTACTGCTGCTTTTCTGGAGGACTTCTGTTCTCACTTTAACATTTTAGTTAGACAGGTTTGCTGTTTTGTTTAAATTGAAAAAAACATTGCTTCTTAGAGACATAGGTATACTCTTTGGTATAGAGAGATTTTCATTGTAAAATTCTAGATTGAGTTCTACTTTCAATGTCTGAAGGATGTTGATCCATTGTCTTCTTGCTCCTATTGTGTCCTGTGGCATATCTTCTGTGGTCTTTGTTCGGTAGTAGACATAACTAGTTGTCTGCTTTTTCTATTGATCACTGCTGTTAAATTGATTATGGTGTACTATGGTATTTTCCTCATTTTTTGTGCTTGGGTCTGTCCTTTTCATTTGGAAAATTACGGGTGTTGGTGGGTGCTGGATATTTTTGTATTGCTGTAAATACTCTTGAACCTTGTTCTGAGACATACTTGAAAACGCTGATCCCTTTTGGGACTCTGAAGGTAAGGATTGCATTTGTTCTAGGGTTGAAGTAAGACCCTCCTGGATGCAGTGCCCCTTAGATTGTGAACTATCTTGAGTGGACTTGTAAAACAGACTAATCCTAGTTTTGTATGAGCTCCGCTTCCTGTAAACCTTTTCCTGGGATAGTTTCCTCATGCATGACACTTTTCTTGAAGGTTTCCCTCTCAAATTTCTGGAGTTTCTGCATCTCCATCCCTCTGCCATGGGAACTCTAGCTTCCCTGATCTCCCTTGATCTTTCAACTCCACCCTAACAAAGAAAGTCCATCAAGACCTGAAGATTCAAGGCACGGAGCTGGGGCAGTGTTGTCTTTCAGAGATCACTGTTCTTTGTCTACATGTATTGAAGAACCACTCTATACATTTTGTCCTTTTCATTTGCATCAGAATAAATCTAGTCTCTTCATCTGGGCCAGAAGACAAAGTTTGAGATAGGAATTTTAATGTTTCAGTTTTCAGTTTTAAGCAGTATAATGCATTTTGTTAACCTTTATTTTTAAAAATGTTGCAGATAAGGTATACATCTGCTTTAAACATCCATAGTCCCTTTTCTTTGCCCTCTTCTACTGTTTGAAAGTAATCCCTGAATCTGGCTTGGTGCTCATGCTGCTTCTAACAATTTATATACACATAGCTATATATCTTTATAAAATAAGTTATAGGGATTTTTTCTTTTTACACAAGAATATCCTGCAGGGTTCTTTTCCCCCGAGTAAAATATTCAGCAGTCTGTTGCCACAACAGGTGCACATTTTTTTCTTAGGTTTTGCATTTTTTAAAATTTCATTTTCAACAGAATTTTACATATTAATGACATTTCAATATGTTGTGTAATGTTTAAATCAGCAAACAGTCTACTTAAACATTTATGGTAAGAACACTCAGTTCTAACTTTTTGAAATCGTATATACAGTGGTACCTTGGTTCACGAATTTGTGCTGTGATTTTGGAAAAGATGGCCACATTTGTGTTTGTGTGGGAAAGGTGGTCATGATCATATTTGTCACCTGATGCAGAGTTTGCAAACAGAATTTGGGGGCCAGGGACGGAGCTCGGTAGTGCTGCGCCTGCCTGGCAAGCACAAGGTCCTGAGTTTGAACCCCACTACTGGGGAAAAAAAAAAAAGATTAGAAAACTTTTGCCAAACCTTTCTGTTTGTGAACCTAGTTTGTGAACATTGTTCATGAGCTAAGGTTCCATTGTAGTTGCTATCCAGTCACCCTACTGTGCAAACAGCACCAGAACTTAATCTGCAGCACAGTGCTCATGATCAGTCTTTCTTCTGCCTCCCTTTCATTCCTCTGTCCAGCCTTTGTTTACCACCATTCCACTTGCAACTTATGTGAGATCATACATGCAGTACTTGTCTTTCTGTCCTTGACTTCATGTAACATACTGGTTTCCAAAGCCATGTTGCAAATGGCAAGATACCATTCTGTCTGAATAATATTCCATTATAGATCTCTACCATATTTTCTTTTTTCTTTTTGGGGGTTTTTTGAGACAGGGTCTCACTATGTAGTTGAGGCTGACCTGGAACTCAGTACGTAGTGTAGGCTGGTCTCAAACTCAGTGATCCTCCTGCCTCAGCCTCCTGAGTACTGGGATTACAGGTATGAACAACCACGCCCAGCTTTCTACCATATTTTCTTAAACTCAGGTTGTTTCCATTTCTTGGCTATTAAGAATTCTGCAAGCCCTCTACTCCCTCCCTCCTTCCTTTGCTCCAATGAGACCTTTCCAAATTAGTGTGTGGGACTGTACGGAATTAAGTTTCTGTGTTTGCATATTGCTGTAACAGCTTGTCCCCACTCACGTTAGGACTGGGAGGTGGTGGGGCTTGTAGGAGGTGGGCCTACTTGTGACCAATCATTGGAGGCTTGTCCTGGAAGAGGATATTGGGGCCCCCCAATCCCTCCATCTTCCCTGGTCGCCGTAGTGTGGGCAGCTTTCCCTGACCAGTGCTTCTGCTGTGGTAGTATTGCCTCACCACAGGCTTGAAGGCGATGAGGCCAACTGGCCACGGGCTTAGATGTTTGCAGCTGAGCCAGAATAAACCTTTCCTCTAACTCGATTATCTCAGGTATTTTGTTGGAGTCATGCAGTGCTGACAGAGTTGGTACTGAGAAATGGGATTGTTGCTATTACTACCTGATGGCGTGCATGAGCCTTTGGATTTGGTATGCAGGAGGAGTTTGGAAGAGCAGGTTAGAGGAAACCTAGGATGCTACAAGGGGAGCTAAGCGAGCAGCTCTGGTGAAGCCAGAGACCATGGTGCTACCAAAATGGAGACAGTAAAGGTTATTTTCATGAGGTTTCAGATGGAAATAAGCATAGGGAACTGAACTGAAGGCCAGCATTTTTGTACTGTGGCAAAGAAATTTGACTACATTTTGCCATGCCCTGAGGCTTTGTGGGAGGCAGGCCTTAAAGGTGATGGACTAGTTTCTCTGGCAGAGAAAATGTCAAGGCAGCACAACATTCAGGCAGTAACATGAATATTATTGACTGCCTTTAGCTCCATTTACTGTGTGAACCAAGAGCAGAGGAAAAATTTGGAAAATTTGCAGTGTGGTGAAAGGAGGAACACTTTTAAAGGTGTTACCATAGAGGGTGTATTTACTAAAGAGTTTGAGGCCATTAAGCCATCTAAAGCCAGGTGTGTTGTGATCCAAGCACTTGGAAGGCTGACGCAGAATTACTGTGAGTTGGAGACCAGCCTAGGCTACATAGTTCAAGGCTGGCCTCAACTACACAGCAAGACCCTGTCTCAAAATAAAAAACAAAGAAACTGCATCGGGACATGTGTTACTTTTTTCTTGTTGCTGAGTCAGAATACTCCCTCCACACCCAAAGTTAAAAGGGGAAAGGTTTATTTGGCCCACAATCTGTAGAGTTTCAGTCCATAGCTGGCTCCAAGGCAGAGGGGCACATGGCAGAGGGGCGACGGGTCATGGCCACAGAAAATAACACAGCCACAAAGGACAACTGTGCCCCTTTTATCTTGGCCTACTTGGGGTGGGGTGAGTGGCATTCACACTTTTAATTCTGGTACCCTTAGGCCTAGCCCCAGTATGAGTCACTGTAGTTCAGCCAACTCTGAGAAAGCAGGAGGCTTTGTGAGGACAGCTAAACACAGGCCATAACATTCTGCCCCTGTCCCCCCAAAGACTCGTGCTTATCCTTTTATGCAAAAAAAAAAAAAAAAAAAAAAAAGGCATTTAGTCCATCTCCAAGAGCTGCCAAAGTCCTGACAGTTTCAGCATTGTTGAAAAGTCCAAGTCCAAAGTCTCTTCTGAGATTTAAGGCAAACTAGCTGCAAACCCCTGTACAAATGGAAGAAAGTTAAATACTTCCAACATTGAGTGGCACAAGATAGACATTTCCATTCCAAACGTTACAAATGGGGCTATAAAGG